TACTCAACAAACATAAATTAACACACCCACCATCAACTAACGCCGGAACATTGCAACACAATACAAATTCGGAGGAGCTAAGTTAGGATATAAAAAGACGAGCGAGATGATTACGCATAATAAAAGGACAAAGGAAGATTATTATCGTATGTTTGTCCAATTCCTTTCTTCTTCTGCCTTGTATTGGGTTAAAGCTACTGCTGGTCAAACTTGGACAAAGACGCAAGGTTTTGATTTGGCGTGCGCTTCTACGTTAAATTATTTTCTGTGGGTTTAAGTTATTTTTTGTCCCTTTATTGTATGCATATCTTTAAAATGGTTTATGTTCTACAAATCGAATTGAATTTTTATTTGGAATACAATCCCTAACAAGGGATAATATAATTTTTTTAAGAGGAATTACACATAACCTATTTGTAATTTAAGATAAATGTGTTAAAAAAAGCTTGTGAAATCGAAATATGCACTTAAAAACTTTTACTTTGAACCTTATGCACTAAATCACTATTGCCATTTAAATGATGTTAAAATTATTTGCAATATATTAAATACTCTTAACCTAAAAAATAAAAAGAGGAGAGGAAAAGTCCAATCCTCACACAAACTCTCTTTTATAAGAATTTTCAAAGATCGATTCAAGTGAAGACGAAAACCAAAAACAATAACTCTCTACAGGTAATCGAATAAAATCTTTTAATTTATTGTAATTTATATTCCAAAGTGAAACTTTGTTTCTAATTTTCTTTTATCAACTTTGTTGTATTCGGTTGAAAATTTTATGACTTGTTTAAGATTTTAAAAGTGAGGATTTCATTTAAAAATTAGAAGGTTCTACCTTAGTCTCTTACAGTTGTAAATAATATATTCTTGATTATACAAATTTAATTTTAATTAGTTTCAACAATATATGTTAATTATGAATATTTTATATATGTGCAAATTATTTTTTTGAATTGAATTATGCAAATGGTCTGAATGTGGCTAGTTGAAATGAATGAATAAATTAATTATTATCATTTTTTATGTATTTTGGTGGATGGATGGTAATGAGTTGTCAAGAAGTGATGAGACTGTAAGTGGTTCTAATAAGTCAAATGAAGTATGTACAATTTAACTTTTAGTGTTGAGCAAGACGGTAGTGTTATGCAGGTAGTGTTATGCAGGTAGTGTTATGCAGGAAGGGTGTTAGAGGAATTAAGATAAAAAGTGAAGTTTTTTTGTTAGGTTTTTAACAATAATAGTGTTTTATTACTCTTATTTCAAAACACAGGTCTTTAAGTACACATTTTGATATCACAGACCTTTAAATACACTTATCATAAATCATAGGTAGGTTAAGTGTAATTTTCCCTTTTTTTTTAAAACAATGATTATAGTGTTTTAAATAGTTTTTATATATCTCAAAAATTATTATTCTTAAGATGATTTATTCTTTTAAAAGGATTTTCAAAGGATACCTCTATATCAGTATGCGTTTAGAGAAATTAATCTTTTTAAATACTTATACCAAAACTCTTAAAATTGTTTACAATACCTTAGTTTTAGGTGTGTAATACCCTAATAATATGTTTAATTTAA